AAACTTAAATAAGGGACCAGGAAAAAAACTAATCAATACAAAGTAAAAATCAAAATCAACAAGCAACTATAAACCAGAGACACACTGGGGTGGGGGTGTTAGGGAGGAGTGAAGAAAGGAAGGACTAGAGTCAAAATAAGGGGGGGTGCAATTGTGTGGGGAATATAACCAAAATGAAAATGCATACATTGTGCAAAGATGAAAAACGGTGTAAGAATTATATAAAAGAAAATATTAAAAGAAAAAAAATGTGGGAGACAGGGAGGTGGAAGGTGTGTCCTGGCACTATTGATTGGATATTAGTGCTCCTCTCAGGAAGATATGGGAGACGAATTCAGAAAAATAAAACACATGCCCTAGTCCAAATACACACAGCAGTGTTTAAGTGTGCCCACTCACACAGGTTTATTAAAACAATGTTTCACTAGTGCAAAATTTCACCAAGCCATTCCTGAGTAAAACACGAATGCTGTACAAATGAATTATGCAAGCTGATACTAGGGTATTCTCTGGTGTGAGATAAAATCCATTATGCACACCGGACATTATCCCCTTTATTGTAGCTTTATTCGAACAGGTCCCAGTGCACGTTGGCTGTCAGGATAACAGCGCCATCTAGCGTGGGCTGCTCTTTCGTTAAGTGCAAAGACTGAAGTGTTCTGGTGTTACTGTGCAGAACAATCACAAGGCTCATCCCACCCCAAAATAAAGCCCTCTGATTCATTTTTGGCTTTAAAAGTTGCAGTTTAACAGAACTAAATGTGTTGGAAGCTATGGCATTTCTAAAGAATCCTCCTGAAAGAAAATTACCTTGTCTCATCATAACTGAGATGATGAGGAACGTATAAAAAGTAATTTCTCCTCATTTTCCTCATTGGCCCATTCTGGCAACTAAAAGGTAAAAAAAACAATATTAATTGATTTTCAGTCGGGAACACATGACAATTTTATTTCTGAGAACAATTTTTAACAAGCAAATGAAACAATGCATATCATGGCACTTTAAACATCAATAATCACCACTTAATTATAGAACATAAAACTTAAAATAAAAGCTATCAGGACCATTGAGTTTAGTAACTTCAATAGGAAGATGAAACATGTTGCCATCCATCATAAACTGGCAAATAATCAGATCATGAAGCAGGAAAGCTGACACTCAAGAGAATGTCAAGTTCCTTTGTCCTGCAGTGGCTTGTATTAACAAAAGACAAAGGGAATGAGGAGGAAGAAGCAAAAGGGAAACTGAAGAGAAAGCAAAGAAGGAAAATCAGAGAAAGGCAGTGGGAATTCAGGGGGGAAATAATTAAAATCACACATTTTAGTTTTCCATCTCCCATCTTTTAGAATTTTGAATTTCAACATCACACCCAAAATCCCTCAACGTTTTTTAACTGAGCCAAGAATTTCCTTCATCATCATTGTTAAAACTGCAACCAAACAATCAAAGAGAATACACCTAAGCAAATAGCAGACAGCAGAGACAATGCCTGCCCTCTGCTTGGGATTCTGAGCTGTACTGAGACAGCTTTCAAAGACAGAAGACGGCGAGCTCTTTGGTGCCACCGCAATTAAGTCTCTCTCCTAACTATTGAGCTTTTGTCTGTTGATCCATCTGAAAAGAGCTGAGACTAGCTCAAAGGAAAGCCAATCCAGCACTTGCTGATGGGAATATTTCATGTGCAGAATATGTACGTGGAATGTTAACAAAGAGCAAGTATATCGAGGCTGTTTTTCCATTGTTTTATAAATAGATGAGTTCAAGCCACCACTATGGATGGCAACTGGCCCGTGGATTAAAGTAAGCTGCTGTTCACGTGGACAATGGCGTGAACGGTTTGGACACATATGGCCATGTCGTGTTGTTTGGCTGAATTCACCAGGAGAAAATTTCCACCTAATCAAATATACTTGAAGTGCTGATGCTAGAACAAACACGTTTCTACCAAAGGCTAGTTTGGTCCACTCATTTCTGTAGTCACACCAAGCATCTTGGAAGTTTATTAGAAATACAGACTCCAGAACTTCATCTCCATGCCATAATCTCACTGAGTAGGGTGAGGCATTTAGCCAGCACATCAGGTGGTTTAAGGTAGGCTATTGAAATCCTGACTTCATGAAAATAATGTGAATCTCCGAGGTTTTTTTTTCCTTGAACAATGGAAGATTTTTCTCTCTTTACTTCATACAACCATTATTGTTTTCCCTTTGAAGAAAAGCCATAAATACTGACATTAATATTGCATAATTTTCAGTAACTGAATTTTACAGTTTTTTTTATAATTTACTATTAATTAAGTGATCGAAGTTTCAAAACCTGGAATCTTCTATTCAAAGCTCTAAAAGCATTTTTGAAAAGATTTATTTATTTATGCATATAAGAACTGGGGTACAGGCCAGAAGTTCAGGGGGTGAGAGGATTCACCAGAGACAGAGCGGGGAGCAGAACAGGCAGACGGACTGAAAGCACTGCTGAGGGGAGCAGCAGGCGAGACAGAAGAGGTCTGCTGTGCCATGTGGGTAGCTCCTTGGCTTTCAGGGGCTCAAACCTGTGCTGCAGGGGGCTGTGGATAGCTTCACTGTGCTGTGCTTAACCCCTTGCACCACCACAGAGGACCCTCCAAAAGCATTTTCTTAACTTAAAACTAAATAAAACTTTAACAAATATATCAAAGAGTTTACCCAGGGTCCAGGACATTTTCCAACAAAACATGCTCTTGATTTTTCTCCTTAATGGAAACCCCTGCTATATCCAATCACCAAAAGCTGAGCATTCACCTGAAGGAGAATCTATTTCATTTCTCTCTACATCCCCCCAACCCATTCCTGCCTCTGACTACCTGTCCTTACCCTCATGTCCATCTGTCCAGAAAAACTTCGCACATCTTTCAAGTCACAGATCAAATCTCTCCTCTCCTGTGAATCCAGTCCAGAGTGAACAGTTCATACATGTTTGTTAACAGTTAATAAGTATTTCTACATTAAACGTGTAAGCAATTCTAAGCACCTGCTCATCTGGAAGTCAGAAACAAAGTACATGTTCTAAAGCAATAGTTTGACGTATTATGGAGAAATGCCAAGCATTCAATAGTGAAAATACCAAAGTCCTCCTTGGCCTCAACATCTTTTATTTGAAAACAGGTCCTTGCTTCTTAATCTACTCCTAATTAAAATGCTATGTTTGAGGTCAACGGCAACGTCTGTGCAGTGGCCGAGAATGCAGGGACAGCGTTTATAAGTCTCTTTCAGAACAACACCCACCTGAGGCTCTTTGAGATTCTTTATTTGGTTTTCTTTTGTGTCTCCATTACAAAGTTGTGCAGAGCTGATGCTATTTGGAGAATAAGGAAATAGAACACACACTCGACATTACATAAATTACAGAACCATCCAGAATCAGGAGGGCCTCCCGAGTGGTGCAAGGGGTTTAGTCTCAACAGTAGGAAGCTGTCTGCAGCCACTGCAGCATGAGTTCCAACCCTGGCCAGGGAGCAACCTACATGGTGCTCCCTGGCTTGCCCGATGCTCCCCTCAGCTTGTATTTCAATCAATCTGCCTGTTCTGCTCCCCACTCTGTATCTGGTGAATCCTCTAACACACACACACACACCTGCATCTCTAGCCTACACCCCAGCTCTTGTATGCATAAATAAATCTTAAATAAAAAAAAGAACGCTCCAGAATTCTTTACTGCTTTTAAGATAATTCTCTCCTTTTCAGAAAGGAGAGAACAGAGGTCTCAAGAGCATGAGTAGAGTGGGCTGGCTGGTGGTCTGCGGCAGCCAGGGGCACAACCAGGGGGCACAGGGGCCATGCCCAAGGGCCCAGATGGCCCGTCTCTGAGCTGCAAAGTGAACCCGAGGCCAAGGTGTGGCACTGGCTTCTGCAAAGAGGTGGGTGCTTGGTGTGGTCTGCTGCCTCTTGCTCATCCCTTCCTTACTGCACCATCCAGCAGGAGAGTCAGAAAGATGGACTCTCCGCCAGTTCAGGACCAGGATCAGCTCATTCCATGGGAAGTGCAAGCTCTGTTCAAGGACACCCCTTACCACAGGTGAGCTGGGTGTGCAAAAGGATTCACTGGGGAAGGGCTGCTGTAATGTCAAGTCGAGCGCCTGCAGCAGGACGCCACCCAGCTAGCGACTTCTGGAGCGCTCCATCTCCCCTGCCAGCCTGCATGAGACACTCCCCGCTTTTCTAGCATAAGACAAAGTCTCTCTGGGTCAAGGCAGAGAACATTTGGTCAGCAGATCAAGATGACACGTCCCTTGCATAGATCCTTTGCTCATCTTGGGAGTCACCTTAACAAACGACCCTTGCCTGGCCCTCCTCACTGGCCCCAAGTTTGGTCCAGTTCTTTTTCTTTCTTGCCTTTTTTTTCTTCTTTTTCAACTTGTTGATCTCAAACAGGGTATTAGTTTTACAATTGCACTCAACGTTTTTCTCCCTCAGTTTGCCTTCCAGAACGTTTCTGCAGGATATAATAACTTCCCTTAACTCCCTCTTATTGCTTCATACATTCATCTCCCCAATGCATTTTGCTCCCCCCGCCCCATGAGATTTCTAAGAGGGAAAACCACCTGGCTATTGCTTTTTCATGTTGGATACCATGACATCTAGTCAGTTGGCATTTTGCTGCTCAGTGGCTACCTGTCTTCCTTAGTGCTAAGCTAGACTTTGCACGTGAAAGGAGTAGATGTGGTTCCATGTTTTCTCACCTCATTCTTTCTGATAACCACCTTCTTTCTGATAACTCATTATGTATTTGAGTATTTGTCTTCAGCTAATTGCCACTAATGTCAGTCTCTCCTTTGAGATTATTTGGATTCTTAAGCAATAGAACATAGAACATTTAATGTGTGTATAGCATGTGATTTTTTTTTTAAAGAGCATGTGTAGCCTCCAAAACAACAGGTTCATCAGAGTATAGTCCATTTCACCTTTACTCAAGATTTTTCTCCAATAAAAAAACAATTACATAAGCAAAGACATGTTTGTTACAGATTGGCACAAAGTGACATAGTCTGCAGTCTACATTGCAAAGAACCATGAGAGCGCTTAGAGGAAAATGTAAGTTAGTTACTAATAAACACTAACCAGATGATGTAACATTATCAAGATATGTTTGATATCTGTTTATATTTGCCAGACTCTGCAAGATGTTTGGTCTGTTGTAGTAATAATATGATTGATTTAAAGAGAATTTTAAATGTCGCTGCCCTTTACCTTCAGATATGGAAAATTCAAATCAGAAGAAATGGAGAGTATAGTAGCTTATACCTTATATTTTGTAAAGGATCAAACTGTTACCTCCTTTTATGTTTCAAAATTGAAATTACTACAGTAAGAACATGTGGACTCCATCATTTATTTATCATTTGTTCCCTACAATTGCAAATGAAAATATACATTTGAACTATTTACAATTGCAAATGTAAATATACATTTGCATTTCCCATATTATTTTTAATAGTGCCAAAAAATACAGACTAATCCGCAGTGGTATTTACAAGCATTCATGCTGAACAATCACTGCAGAGCTTAAATTTATCAATACTAATCAACTTGAAGCAAGAAAAGTTGAAGTTCGTAATTTCATGATGAATAAGTTTAGCATTTTGACATTTTTGTGTCATTAAAAGAAACTCAAGGGAGAAATTTAACATTTAGGATATGTATCCTATAAAAGTCATTGGGATAAAAGATTTTTAGTCTATTTTTAATGCTTCTTGATTGTGAGCACATTGGAAAAATGTTCTACTTACAAAATGAAGATTTGAAAGGATTATTTCCTTGAACATGAAGTGCATCAATGATATTTATCTTAGAATATGTTCAATGCAATAGCTGAAAAGCAACTAGAAAGTAGTAAGACCAATAATTAGAGGTTTTATAGCTATATCTTCAAAATACATAGAAACATATTTAGAGTATATATACTATAGAATATATTTACATATGTAAGATATGTCTATGTATGTAACTTTTAATCATTGGTCTTGCTATTCTACTGTTGCTTTTCAGATATTGAATCATGGTTTTGTACCTTCATCAGTCCTCACATCACACTAAAATTCAGTATCCTCATGATTTTTTCACTTGCCTTTTCATAAATACACTTAAGTTTCTACATGCTTGCATGGTTATGTAATATTTACTTATTCAGTGCAGGGGCCTTTAATTTTCTTTTTAAAAAATATTTATTTATTTATGCATACAAGAACTGGGGTACAGGCTAGGGGTGTGGGGGGGTGGTGAGAGGATTCACCAGAGACATTAATTTTCTATTTCTATGTTACCTGCTTCAATTTCCGTGTCCCGGTTGGGCTTAGGCAAAGATGTGCAGTACAAATGTCTGCATGGGCACGGGGCTCAGTGAACACCCCAGTCCCACTTATCATGATCTCTTTTGGCAATCAGCTGGATTCTAGCAGTTATAATATTTTAGTTATTCTAAATGACCCCAAATATACAGCCCTCGCTTGGAGGTTGCCACAAGACTTGCTATAGAGTTCATGAGAACCGTGACTTCAAACTAATATTCAGACAAGAGCTTCTTGTTGTAGACAATTATATTTATTTTGTTTTATTTTGAATATGAAGCAGAAGAGAGAGGAGTAGAAGAGAAAGATCTTGGGAATGAAAGAGAGAAATTCAGGACAGAAAAATCCATGAAGGTACGTTGTTAAACCTCCAGGTTCTCATTTGATGAGGAAAGAACCTTAACCATATCATGAATTAATGTTTTATTGCTGTTATTTATATCCATAGTTATATGTCAATTCTCAATTTGTTAGCAATATAGAACACGTTTCTCTAAGCACTACCTGCTAACTAATTTGACCTCTGTGGAGAACTATTTATACAGGATAATGTTACAATAGTTAAGAAAATACTTAGAAGTGTTTTCGAAGCTTGCTAAATACTTTTATTTATTTATAAATTTAAATAACCCCATCACTAAATATTTCCCTCACATTTGTTTCATTGTTCATATTTTGTATTTAATACACAAATAAAAATAGCTGTCAGTAATTATGAAAAGGAGCAACCAAATTAGATTAAAGAAAATAACCCCAAAGAGCTTTATAATCAAAACTGAATGGGATCCCATTTTTTATCCAGGATAAGCTATATACAGGAATGTAATGAGCTCTAAGAATGTATTCCTAAGCAAAAGAAAGAAGAACTAAACTTTGAAGTAAACATTAGTACAAGATAACACGTAAAATCATCAGTGTTCTTGTTATACTCCAGGGTTAAAAACAATGCATATCCTTTAAGGAAATTGTCTTTCCTATTTATATGACTGTAAATGGCCCTGATTCAAAATCTTTCTGCAGCTCCTCATTCCAAATTCACGAACTTGACAGTTTCCAAGTGCATTGTATTTTAATGGTATATTTCATCCAAACCCAAACCAAATTGTCCCATGTAAATTTAAATTTCTACCTTGTTATTTTTAGAGAACAATAATTTTTGAGTAAGAATTAATATATCCACTCTTAAAAAGACTGTCAATAGGTTATATATTTTAAAGTTGCTAAGAGATGAGATCTTAAATGTTAACGCAAAAAAACTGTGAGATTATGTGAGGGTATGGATGTTTTAATTCACTTCACGTGATAATCATTTGGTACTATATGTGTCAAATCATCCAATTGTATATCTTAAACCTACACAATGTTTTATATTAATTATATCTCAATGAAACTAAGAGACATTCACACCAATAAAGTATAGTCTCCCACAGGAAACAACCATAATATTTAACATCTCTCTCTATGATACAGAAATATTTTTATCCACAGCTCACACTGTTCAACTTTGAGCTACTTTCTTCATAACACTTTGATTAAAGGAAAAAGTAGATTGAAAAACCCCAAAGCTTAAGGTGATAGAAGATATGTAAGCTTTGTAACTTGTGTAAGCTATTGCACAGCACCTGACAAGCACAAAAGTTACTTCATTGAGAAAATGATGACTTTAATTACAAAAGGGTAGGGACCTATTCAATACAGAAGATACTCATTTGACATTTCAAGATAATTGATTTTCTGAAAACGAACACGAATAAATTCATCAACAATTTGTTGACATAACATTCAGATGACCCACATGCTGGGGTTCAAGATAGGCCAAAACGAATAAAGCAAGATTTCTGTCAAATTTCCTTCATCTAAAGAATTGTATTTTCAATCTTCTGATCTAGTACTCTTTTAAGTACTCTTTCAACAAACATAAGACTTTTACGTCTTTCTTTGATGCCATTCAAAATTTCAAATATATTACTTTATAAATTCAACTCAAACCTACATCACACACCATTTTAGCATTTCTAACATGTGCTAAATAAGCTTGTAGGGTAAGGTAAAAGGTATCAGGTTTTTCTGCCCTCCCGCTATATAGATGAGGGAACCCTGCGGTCCTGAGTGCATGCCTGATGGCGGGCACCTGGAGTAGGGTGTGGGCATAGGTAGATGGGATTCAACTGGGCTTTTAAGGGCGGTGTCACAGGGACGCCAGCAGAAGCCGAGAGAGAAGCAAGAGAAGCAGAAGCTGAGAGAAGGCCAGAGAGCCCAGAGTGAAGACCTGCTGGGGGCTGGGAGGCCTGCCAGCATACTGGCCCCCCAGCGCCCCTGCCTGCTGTGTACCTGGTAATCCCATATACCGGGTAAATCTAAATAAAACCCTGCAAGACCACTGAGGACTCTGACTCCTCCTTTACCCAGTCTGCTGGATCATAGAAAACCTGTTCCGTGGCCATTCCTGACCTTACAAAGCTCTAAAAAAGTATAAATTAGGGGCCTCCCTGGTGGTGCAAGGGGATGAGCACAGCATTATGACACTGTCCGCAGCCTCCACAGCATGAGTTCAATCCCCGGCTGGCCAGGGAGCAACACACATGGTGCAGCCGACCTCTCCTGTCTCGCCTGCTGCTCCCCTGAGTAGTGTATTTTGGTACATCTGCCTGTTCTGCTCCCCACTCTGTCTCTGGTGAATCCTCACCCTCAGCACCTCTGGCCTGTACCCTAGTTCTTGTATGGATAAATAGATTAATCTTTTTTTAAAAAAGTATAAATTATATTCAATAAAGGTCATATGCTGTAACTGCACAGGTTGATATCTTTTGAAAAATAACCACATAATCACTCCCCTATTCAAGTTACAGAAATATTCATCATAACCAGAAGCTCCTTAATGCTCCTTTGTAATAAATTACCCCACCTCCTACCCTAGTTAACCACTATTCTGATTGGGATATTATAAATAAAGATGTTATGAATGTTTCTGTGCAAGTCTTTTCAACTACTGCTATGGCTGAGTTTAAGTTATGAATCTTTCTTAGTTTCCATTTGTCTTTTATGCTTTAGATTCCTTTTCCACCTTTCTTTTGAGTTAAACAGATATTTTTACTGTGTTTTATCTTCCTCTACTGGATTCTTAGCTACACATTTTTTGCTCATTTTAATTACATATTTTTGCTCATCATCACTAAATGATACCATGTATCATTTTAATCACTGCCCTATAATTAACCAAATTCATTTTAGTCTATTTAGAATTAATGTTATACCTCTTCATGCTTCACATGTTGAAATTCACAATTCTTTGACAATTCATAATTCAAAATCCCTCATGCCACTCAACAATTCCAATAACTTAGCAAGACTCAGTATCCGAACTTCTTTTTGCTAATTTTTCTGGAGAAAAAAACTGATTTTTGACAAGTCTAAAATAGGGATTGGTCCTTAAATCTAATGTGGAATTTATTTCTTTCTATTGTCTTTGCTGAATTAAGGGTATTAAGGAAGTAACCATCAAGATCACTACACAGACTCTTCAGAACTGCCTTTCTCCAGAACTATGTATTTTAGAATTTCTGTTATACTCTTAATCTCATAATAGCTTTAATCTGGTAAACACTATATAGTCTTTTCCCTATGTGCACAAGCCATACGCCACAGACCTGTAACATTATCCACCCAACCTTTCGGAGCTGTCTTACTGCTCATCTCCTTTGTCGCTCATTGCTATTCCATGGATTTAAGCTGCTTCAAATACCCTAAACTCAGAACTCTGCTTCCTTATTTCACTTGAGACCATCACTGTCTCCATTTCTTGAGCTCTTTGTGAGTGTCAGAAATTTGCTGTCAGATAGAGCAGGGAAGTATGGGAGTGCTCCTCCTGTCATTGTGAATAGTCTCACACTACCTGTTGACACATCTGGAAATGTTTCCTTCTAATATTATTCCAGTGATAGAGCTGCTTATGACAGAAATAATAGTCTGATAACAGTTAATCTATCTAATGCACAGTATTTCATTCATGTTTAGACACTGAATCTTTATCTTATTTTTTGAGTGTTCATGCAGTATAACATTATATAAAAACAAAAAACTTTAACAGTTTCACATAGGTTTCCTATAGGAAAATTTCATTTAATAAAATGTATAGAGTCCTTCAAAAGGAATGATAGTTACACAGATTTCAAAAGTCCTTTTCCTATACATTGTATTCTTAAAAGAGATTAATTTCTCCCAAAGTGTATTGAATACCCACCATTAAAAAATTTCTATAAAGGTTATGAAGGGGAATCAGATAAAGATTCTGCCTTTATGGAGCTGATAGGCAGATAAAATTTTCCTAAAGTACATGATTTTGAAATCAATGGGGGTACTAAAGCATCAGATAAAATACTGGGATTATTTGGAAGGGAGAGAGAATACTTCAGATAATGTACAAGAATTTTTAAGAAACTGATGTTCAAGATGGGCCTTGAATTAAGCACATTTGCTTATGAATAAATGAATGCAGAATGACCATGTCCACATTTAGGACAGAAGAATTTACAAAAGCATCAAGATTGGAAAACTGGGCCTCCCCTGGTGGTGCAGCGATTGAGCGCTGGGCTGCGAAGCTGCCTGCAGCCTCTGCAGCACCAGTTTGATCCCCAGCTGCCGGCGAGGGTCCCACATGGTGCAACAGACCTCTCCTGCTGTGCCCACTGCTCCCCTCAGCAGTGTATTTCGTCTGTCTGCCTGTTCTGTTCCCCGCTCTGGCTCTGGTGAATTCTCTCACCCTCCCGTGCTTCTGACTGTACCCAGTGCTTGTATAAATAAATAAATAAATCTTTAATTAAAAAAAAATCCACACATTTAAAAAAAAAAATTGGAAAACTGTCCCTAGAAACAAAGAGCACCCAATTAGTTTGGAATTTCAAGTAAACTAAGGGAAAATAAAGGGAAAAAAATTCCAAGTGGTTTATAGGCAAGTCTTGGATTTTGAATACCAACAAGAAGTTTGTAATTTAGTCTTCAGATAGTTGTAATCACTGAAGACGTTTTAGCTGGAATGCTTTGATCTGCAAGTTCATGTGTTGAGTGACTTTGCTCCCGCCCATGATGAAGAGTATCATCTACATGTGCCATGGAAACACAGTTCATTTTATGACTATTTGATCTCAAAGAGACTAAATGAGTGTATTTTGCAAACATGTGACTATTTATTTGGACTTAAAATATTTTAAAGTCAAAGGAAATTCCCGCTCACTAAAAACAACATTATTTCGGCTGCCACCCTGGTTCTGTGTTCCTCTCATAACATGCCTGGTAAAGCCACAGAAACCATCTCTGCTATGGAGGAGTTGCTGCAGTCCCAGGCTGGGAAGGGATCT